AATAATAATAATATTTAATTATTATTATGTCACTGGCACTTTATTTAACGTGCACCTGACTTCCTGTTTTTCATCCAGACCCTGCCGTGCCTCGTGCGGATGTGCAGTAAAGAGCATTTGCTTGAGGAGAGGGTGGAGGGCGCAGAGACACTGGCCTACCTGATGGAGCCCGACGTGGAGCTGCAGAGGATCGCAAGCACCACCGACCACCTGGTGGCCATGCTGGCCGACTACTTCAAATACCCCAGCTCCGTGTCTGCCATCACTGACATCAAGAGGGTAGGTCAGTGGGTCGGAGGAGGACCTTTAGTGTGATGCTCTTTTAGTGAGGTGAAAAAGGGCAGCTGTATATGGCTGTTTCCACAAATGGAAACCTCAGAAAGTCAGGGGATCACCAAAGCCAGTAGGATTCATCCTCTAGGGACCATGATCGTCTGTACACAATTTCACTGCAATCCAACCAGTATTTGCTGGGGTATTTTAGTCTAGACCGTAGTGGTGGAACACCAAAAGACCTTTAAATCCCTAGTGCCAATCAGTTTTCTTAATAAGGCCAATTAAAGGCTATTTTTTATTAGCATAAATTGTTCTGCTCAGACTTCCAGACAGCACTTTGGCCTGTCTGGTTATTTAGCTATGACCCAATGATCCTTTCTGAACATAGTTTCCCTGAAACTAACAAGTGATGCCAATTAGTGTAATTATTAATATATTAAGAATGCAATAACAGGAAGTTAGAACTGAGCCTCTAAAAAGTTTCACTCCTCTATCAATTTTATCATCTTTTTTTTTTTATCAGAAAGTTGTGTCAACTATTGACATTATGCACCAGCTGACTTTGTGTCCACTCTGTGGTTTTCAGCTGGACCATGACCTGAAGCACGCACACGAGCTGAGACAAGCTGCTTTCAAACTCTACGCCTCACTAGGCTCCAACGACGAGGACATCCGCAAAAAGGTGACCTCTCATTAGGCCCTATTTTTGTTTGCATATATAACCATGCCCATGCATGTTTATATTCTAAACCACCCCCCTTATGTGTTTTCTCTTCAGATCACAGAGACAGAGAACATGATGGACAGGATAGTCAGCGGCCTGTCAGAATCCAGCATTAAAGTCCGTTTGGCAGCTGTCAGGTATGGAAAGAAGTCTTCCCACCCTGATGATGACACGCTGACTGACAGCGTCTTCTTTCTTTCTGACTCATCTGCACTTGCAAATAGTTCCATTTTAAATTCCCTCTAGTCCCTGTACCACTGACTTTAACTGATATTTGGACATCAAATTTTTTATTTTAACTGTGCTGTAATGCCTCACCTCTTAATGTCCCAATTACACAAAAAGATGTTAGATAAGAGGGTTATCTTTTTAATTCATGGAAAAAAAAATATTCATTTCTGTTTCTCCACTGAAAGATAATCCTTTTGCATCCACTTTAGGCTTATTTAGGACCAAATTTGTTTTTAGATTGTATTTAAAGGGATAATATAAAACCTGGATTAGTGTTGTAGGGAGTGTTGCAGGGTTAGCATCGCCATGGTTCCTTCAACAAAAAGTAATGGGATTGTTCCTTGGGTTTTGGATTGTTGCAGGAAATTAGCTCTGTGGTGAACAATAGGTTTATGATACAAGTTTTGTTCAGTAAATAGTCTTCATAACTTGACCCACGTTTATTGATCTTTGAAGCAATAATGTCTCTGAGTTTTAATGTCAACCGACAACCTCTGTAGTCTCTTTTAGACACTTGCTTAGCAACACCATCTTTAAGGACACGTAAATAGCATTCAAAATACAGGTGGGGTATTTACTGATGTATTTTATGTCATAGCATCCCGGATGTGGATACGCACAATTCATTCTGTTTTTTTGCATCCAGGTGTCTTCACAGTCTTTCGCGGTCGGTGCAGCAGCTGAGGACCAGCTTTCACGACCACGCTGTGTGGAAACCCCTCATGAAGGTCAGTGGAGTTTGAAGGAAATTTTTGTGAATGCGTAGAGCAAAGCACATCTCTGCAGGGGAAGAAATACTCTTTCTCTCAGCTGGATGTACTGGATACACAATGAGTAACGTGGTGGTGTGTTGTTGTGTGTAGCTGCTGCAGAACGCCCCAGATGAAGTCCTGGTTATGGCCTCCTCAACACTATGCAATCTACTGCTGGAGTTCTCACCAAGCAAAGAGGTACACACACACACACACACACACACTCACACATATGCTACCTGTAACATAAAGACAATTGGTTTTATTACTTTATATTGAGACCATTTGTTATCTGCAGCCCATCCTGGAGTCAGGGGTGATTGAATTACTATGCAGTCTGACCCAGAGTGACAGTCCTGCACTGAGGGTCAACGGGATCTGGGCCTTGATGGTAAGAAGAGTTTACACTTTTTACACTTGAAGACAACCATAAAATGGAAAAAGACATAATATTTTTCTTCTTTGTCTTTCTCTTACTCTGCACTGCAAAACACTATTGTGTCTAATACATATAAGGGTTGCAGTGAGGTAATATATAATTAAGCAGATCCATTTTACATTTCACACAGTGACTCAAACGTGTGTGTGTGTGTGTGTGTGTGTATATATATGTATGTATGTGTGTATGTATGTGTATATGTATATATATATATATATATAGAACATGGCGTTCCAGGCGGATCAGAAGGTGAAGGGGGAGATTGTTCGGTGTTTGGGCACAGAGCAGTTGTTTCGCCTGCTGTCAGACCCCGACACCAACGTGCTAATGAAGACCCTCGGTTTGCTGCGCAATCTACTGTCAACGCGCCCAGTGAGCCACACACACCCACACACACACACACACACATGATTAAAGACATTATGTAATGTACAGTAAATGAAACATTTCCATGGGCTCTGCCTCTGTTTGAGCATTTTTTTGGAAACATTCTGAATAAGCAGATGTTTCTGATTTAATTCTAGCTGGCTGTCAGCAGCCCTTTCACATCACTGATGACAAAGAAAGGCATTAATGCCAGAGAAAGTAAAAGTGTGTCTGCCCAAGAGTCACTCATAGTTGACAGCAGTAGAGGAGGTTGTAGCGCCGTCTAGTAGCCAACACGCTGGGACAGCAGATACAAACTCTTTTACAAAGATGCCACATTTACAATTTACATTCTTTAAGGAACTCTGGGGATATTGCAGTCACTAGTTGATCAGTTAGAACCTGGTTCACAAACATCTGCTGCTTGTCTATATCTATATCTAGATTACTAATGTAATAAATTACATGGTATCGGATC